ATTTGGACAAATGTCAGCAATCAGTGCTGGCGCATGACTGAATGCCAGCACTGACCAGCACTGAAGCCTCAATGTTGCACAAAGCAGAGGTGAGTGGCGCACGTGCACAGCTGTAGCGAAAACTCTTCCTCGCAATGCTATTTATTGGGGTTTTAGAGCGCGCCGAATGCTGAGGTGATGCCTTCCTCGCACTGGGACGCGTCACAGCTGGTGATGCTTGCGGCCGATGATGATCGGGAAGATCGATCTCTTCGTCGCTGTTGCTGTTGCCATGTTGGCAAGGCTCTTACATGGGAATTGAGGCGCGTCAAATATGCAATTTGAAAGAGAATAAACATATCAATGTTCGGATTCCAGCATTTTCACAAATCCGCCTGCAGCATTCGCAATGTAGTTCTACTGCACCAATGTTTAATGTTCTTCCAATCAGCGAACGACGTCTCAGAAATGTATTTGAGTGATACAAAAATTACAAAGCAATCATCAGTGTACGAGCCATCACAAGAAGGCCATGTGGCAAGCAAACACCGCAGCGTCCAGCGACAAGAGAGCAAATCATATCACCGCCAGTGACGCGAAAGGACACTTCCAGAGTTGAACCCACGCACTCGGATAATCGCACGCGACGAGTGGTGGCGGTTCCCACCAGGCCACCACCCTGCGGCCGGCCTCTGCGTCCGCACCAGTGCTGGGGCCGGCAGGCACAGCGAATGGAACCCGCGACGAGCACAGTCCGGCACACACCAAAGACAGGCGACAGGTGACGATCATGCACAGAGCGGGCGCACGACGCGTCTCACGAACAGCTAAAACAGCCGGGGCCGGATCCGGGCCACGGCGGGCATGCGCCGTGACGCACCGGCTGGCGGTGTCCGCCAACGCGACCGCAAGAGAAGCAGCTGCCGCGGCGCGGTATGCGCAGACACACGCGTACGTCTGAATGATGCGGTACATCTCCATCTAAGAGTACATTACATGAGTGCAGCTCCTCCCACGGCAGACGTTTTCCCCCGCTTCTCACGAGCGCCTTCCCGGGGAGCGGCAACGCCAAAAAGCACAGCATAACACCGATGGGGCAATGCCGCGAGTGAGATGGAAAGACGACAGCACGTAACATATATAATGGCGTCGGTAAGTAGGTGCATGAGATATCCACTAAATGCTTTACAAGCGTTTTGTACTGCCAAGCTTTTCCTTTTTGAAGAAGCGAAAGTGTCATAGAATCGCTGGGCAAGAAACATCTTCAGCAAATGCTCACACCAAAAGCTGTGCCTTTACTTCTGGAAGGCTAATAAAAAGCATTTCTTCGAATGCGACAACACCAAGCCCGGTACCTAGCCTGCCTTCCTGTCACAATCGCTGCCACCGGCGGATCAAGGACTCGCTTGACAGTCGATAGCAGTCTGGCTCAACCTGCTCGCTGCCTGACGACAGAGGCCGAGGTCAGAGGTCACCACAGAGGTCACAGCGCCGTCCGCTGCCCGTGCACGTGTGGCGTCACTCCATCCCTCCGGCGCTCGCCGCCCTCTCACTCGGGGGCCGTCTCCAATCTGTGCAGCCGCCGTCAAGGCTGTCGAAGCCGAACGCTTCTAACATCGCACGCTCTTCCTCCCCACTGTCCCATCACATCCGTACTCTCCTCGTCAGTTCCTCTCTCGGACGCTGTCGACGGCCGGTCTGTGACCGCCGCCAGCGGGCGGCGACGGCCGCGGATGCGGCCGCCGCAGCGACACAGGACGGACGACTGGTGCCGCCCGCTTCGCCACTGACCGCCTCACTCCTTGCCCTCCTCCTTCTTGGTGCCAACGATGACGGCGTACTCGGTCTTCTCGGGGCTGGGCCGCACCTCGGTCTTCACGCCGTCCTTGTTTAGCACCAGCTCGGCATACACCACTTCCGCCTCCTTCTTCGGCGACGCCTGCTCGCCCTCGGTCGCCGTCAGCTCCTTGGTCTCGTCCTGGCGGGGCAAACATCGCGTCGTTGAGGGTCCCGCATGTGAACGGCCCACATCAGTGCCGAAGCACGGATGAAGAGAAGGGGGGGGGAGGGGGGGAGGGGGGGGAGGGGGGGGAGGGGGGGGAGGGGGGGGGTGGTGGTGGTTAAAATTTTCGGACCATCAGAGGCCTCTGAGAAGCTCCGTGCAGACAGTCGCAGAAATAGGCGCGAAGTTTGGCTGTATCGCTTCTGGGGCTCTCAATCGGTTCAGGAGCCCTGAATCGGGTCAGGAGCTGAGTAGACGGAACGCAACCAAACAGGGGCGGGCGCAGAGGGTTCCTAAACTCATCCGATTCAAATGAGTTCTAAAATTATCGGACCGCCCGCGAAATGTGTGTAGGAGAGCTTGGCACGGTTGGTTGTGGGAATCCGAAGAACATTAAAAAAAACTCGCCCCCAAGTGGGCAAACATTCGGAAAACTGCGCGGGTTAAAGTAAACAACCACACTAAAAGGTCCGCTACGGATGCATGTTGTCCAACTGACGCATGGTTCTGACATGTGTGTTGCATTGCGCTGCGTTTCAAAGTTAGAACGCCTGCCGCCACCGAACCCCTCCCCTGGCCGAACCCATCGCACGTCAGTTTGCTGTAGCCAACGTTCGCAGAGGTCATTTCTGAAGGTCAGAGCCGGCCCGCCGCTGCCAAAATGTCGGGCGGTGGAGCGCAGGGTTTCAGGATACCAGCGACGTGTGACAGTTGTCCGACAAGCAGCGTGGTGCGGTCCGCGTGTTTGGAGAAAAATATAGACGAAGGGAACGCGCAAGGCACAGATATCGGGCCGACGCACAGACGAGGCGGGAAAATATACACGCAATTCCACAACGATGTTGTGTGCGAGGCAAGGGTTCTGCTACGTGCATCGAAGTAAAGAACAGAAAAAAACTGCATGGAGAACCAAAAAGCGAAGCATGCACTGATACCCTTAATTGCACAGTGTACTAAAATCGCCTACGGCCATGCGGCAAACTGTGCTGTGGAAACGGAAGTGCCTTTAGCTTGAATGTTCTTTTATGCGGAGTATGTTTTTTTTTAAATGGACGTGATCCATGCGGTACAATCCAGAATCTAACAGTATGGTCGAAACTTTTTTCACTGCGCGTAGGCGTACTTTTCGATAGCTAAAGACCCGGACTCCGCAAACCAATCATAATGCATGGAACATTATTATACTGCTGGGGTAATGCAGACATCAAACGCGGGCGAAATAGATTACTGACCCGACAGGTGTGGATTTAGTTTTTCTCTCGAATTTCACGGGTGGCTGGGAGAACGTTCTCTGCCCCGTCCCAAATATCCGCAAAAGCGTCCGTAGAAATGCAGCCCTACACCGGCCTCGCTCAGCATTGTGTATGTTGCCCGGGTCCAGTAAAAAAAACCGTTACCTGAAGCTACCACCAATATTTGAAGCAAGTGCCAAGTGTATTTGTAGATATCGCCAGACGGTAACCAGTATTGTTACATGGATGAGGTATGCGCCACAACCCTGTGCCACGCTTGTTCTGCAGATGACTAATAAATCTCACAAACCGTTCCAATAGCATTGATGTGTACGTGTAGACATTCCAAGCTTGTAAAGATGAAACATTCAAAACAAAACAAAACTTATCACTTTCTGACCGTTCGAAGCAGTCGCAATTGCCATTTTTTCAATTTGCTAATGCCAGGGAACAATGTCATCTTACCTACGACCGGTCCGGAGCAATGATTCCCATAGATTTAGGAGTCGATGAACAGGCTGTGTTTAAAAACGGGTGCCCTATTCAAACGACTCTGGCCTTTTCAGGTAATTATCGAGCCGCTCCAGCTAAAATGTTCGACTTTGTGACTCTTCCAACTACCAATATGGTATACCCTGCCAATATTTGGATGGCCTTCATTGCCCAAAGCCGGCTCCGAGCCAGCTACGCGACAGGAATGTCATGAGATATATGCGATTTTTCAGTGGTGGCCATCGACAAGTTAAGGTGATGTTTTTTTAGTCCTCCATTGATCAGAAATTT